GAGAAAGGCCAGAATTTCCTCAATATTTTGATTGTGTCTATCACTGTTGTTGTCGTCGCGGTTCCGGAAGGTCTTCCTCTCGCTGTCACCTTGGCTTTGGCTTTTGCGACTACGCGAATGTTAAAAGACCATAATCTCGTTCGTGTTTTACGATCGTGCGAGACCATGGGGAATGCCACTACCATCTGCTCAGACAAAACTGGGACGCTTACCCAGAACAAGATGACCGTAGTCTCCGGGACAGTGGGAACCGCTCTACGCTTTGGAGATCAAAAGACGAAAGCAGCGTCCGCAGGGCCTCCTTTGGACGATGGGTCCAAAGGCAAACAGACAGCGGACTCCCCAGTCTACAACTCCGATGACGTTTCGCCAAAGGAGTTCGTTTCCCACCTTGATTCTGACGTCAAAAATCTACTCGAGCAATCCATTGCTATCAATTCCACCGCATTCGAAGGACGAGAAGATGGACGTGATGCTTTCATTGGGTCTAAGACCGAAACTGCCCTCCTTAGCTTCGCTCGCCAGCACCTCGGCATGGGCCCGGTCAGCACTGTGCGTTCTAACGTAGAAATTGCTCAGCTCATTCCTTTCGACTCCGCGCGGAAATGCATGGGTGTGGTTATCAAGCTGGCCGACGGCAGATACAGACTTCTTGTCAAGGGCGCCTCCGAGATTCTTTTGGAAAAGTGTACGAGAATTGTCTCGGACGGGACGAAGGAAGTTTCGGACATGCCCATGTCATCGGACAATCGAGAAACCCTCGAACAGCTCATATCGACCTACGCTACTCGCTCGTTGCGCACCATTGCCTTGCTCTACCGCGACTTCGAGCAATGGCCACCGAAGGATGTACGTAGGGTGGAAGACGACCCGACCCAAGCCAATTTCGACGACTTGTTCAACAACATGGTTTTCCTTGGAGTGGTCGGCATTCAGGATCCCCTGCGCGAGGGCGTCAGTGAAGCCGTCAAGGATTGTCAGCATGCTGGCGTTTTCGTGCGCATGGTTACAGGAGACAATGTCATGACCGCGAAGGCCATTGCCGAGGACTGTGGTATTCTGGTCCCTGGTGGCGTCGTCATGGAAGGCCCGGTGTTCAGGAAACTGTCCAAGAAAGACATGGACGCCATCATCCCTAAGCTCTGTGTCCTTGCTCGATCCAGCCCCGAGGATAAACGCAAACTAGTCAAGCGCTTGAAAGAATTAGGAGAGACTGTAGCTGTAACTGGAGATGGAACCAACGATGCACCCGCTCTGAAGACGGCCGATGTCGGCTTTTCCATGGGTATCGCTGGTACTGAAGTCGCCAAAGAGGCATCCGCTATCATACTCATGGACGACAACTTCTCTTCTATCGTTAAGGCTCTCCTGTGGGGTCGTGCCGTGAACGACGCTGTCAAGAAGTTCCTCCAGTTCCAAATTACGGTCAACATCACCGCTGTCTTGCTCACATTCGTTTCCGCCGTCGCCTCTTCCAGCCAAACATCAGTTTTGACCGCCGTGCAGCTTCTTTGGGTCAATCTGATCATGGACACTTTTGCGGCATTGGCACTTGCAACAGATCCTCCAACACGAAGCCTCCTGGACAACAAGCCGAGTCCAAAGTCTGCTCCCTTGATTTCTCTAACGATGTGGAAGATGATTATTGGCCAGGCCATCTATCAATTGGTCGTCACATTCATACTTCACTTTGCAGGTACCGGAATCTTATCCTATCAATCGGAAGCAGAGAAGAAGAGGATGAACACCCTCGTCTTCAACACATTCGTGTGGATGCAGATCTTCAATCAGCTCAACAGTCGCCGACTAGACAACCGCTTCAACATCTTTGAGGGAATGACCCGCAACTATTTCTTCATCGGCATAAACTGCATTATGATTGGCGGTCAAATATTGATCATCTTCAAAGGTGGAAAAGCGATATCATGTGTACCGCTGAACGGAGCTCAATGGGGCTACTCTATTGTATTGGGGTTCCTGTCGCTACCCGTCGGCGTCATCATTCGACTTATTCCTGACGATCTTATCCGCAAGTGCATCCCGGCGTTCCTTAGACGGAAGCCTACTCCCCAAGTCGTTGTTTCAGATGAAGAATTCCAGTGGAACCAAGGACTTCTCGAAATTCGGGAGGAGCTCGCCTTCATCAAAAAGGTGCGCGGAGGACGTCTAAGCGGTCTCAAATTCAAAGTTCAGCATCCTCGAGAAGTCTTCTCGCGATCGAGATCTAGCCACTCAATTCCTGGAACGCCAGACAACGGGAACGACAACACCGACGCTCCCTCGGCTCCTCCAACCCCCGATTCTCGCATGGAATCTCGCGGCCGTCGACGAGGGCGATCGAGGTCCAACTCCGCCTTTGGGCCAGCGACCGTCATGGCTGGTATCGTTGCTGGTAGCATTGCGGGGTGGTCACCAATTGATCGGGCTCATGGCGAGGGCGATTCGATCCAATTTTCACGCAATCGCAGCAGATCTGAACTCGAAGCACAGGATGGCATTGGTGTCCATCCAGACACGAAGTCTACCGATCCTGTTTTCGTCGACAACCAGACGTATGATACAGCCCCGAGCCAAAGCAAGGATACCACACCTGCATTCAATATCGGCCCCTTCGCTGGAGATCCAAAGCTAAATGACAAGCCTTGAGCTTGTGGGTCCTGAACGAACAATCGTCTCACATAAATCATACGTGACCTTTAGATGGTCTGAAAAACTCAAAGGCTTTCCGCTGCTTCGACACCAGCACACGCTAATACCCACTTGCCTTCATGATCGAGGCCACTACCTTTCCTAATAGTCCGACCCGCTGTACAGTCAAAACTCTCAGGCGCTTTCCGGCTTCTTGCATTGAAACGGCGAAGAGGAGTTTAATCCAGAGCACGACGGCAGTGCTCACGGCGGAGTCTTTCCTTGATTTATTCGTCCTCTTGTATTACTTTACTTTTTGAACCGGTTCTTTTGTTAACACACGAGGGCGCGTCGAGGCGAACGATCGTTGGTGATCTGGCATACTTAAGTCCTTTTCCTTGTTGTTGGTTGGCTGGTGGCCGCGATGCCGTGGAGTGCGATTGGAACATCCACGTGCGCGAATGGGCCCAAAAAGTGCATTGGTGGCCGCGCTGGCTTGTTGTAGCACACAGCTCGCTCGTTGGAAGGTCTGAATAATATGAAATAGTGCTGCAAATGCACTCGTAAAACTCGAAGCTGTGGTGCTCGCTTGCAGTGATGCTGTGATGTTGATCTCACGTTACAAAGGTACTCAGGCTCAATCATCCTGCCCGGAGAAGCCCTAGGCACCTTCTGAGCAGGCCTGAGCCGATAGGGAGAGACAACTTCCGGCTCAATCAGGACCTAGAGAGAGTCTATCAAGGAACAACGACCGTCTTAACAGAATCCGTCCGCGCCGTCCTAATAGCCGTCTCCAGCTCCTCAAGCGGAAACCGATGCGTAATCAAATCCGCAAACCCCAACCGCCTCCCATGCTCCGTCGCGATCTCCACCGTCTTCAGATAAAGCTCCGGCTCAATCCCCACACTCCCAATAATCTGCAAATTATAATTAACAATCCTCACCGCATCCACCGGATACACCGCCGTGCCCGAATACAACCCGGCCACCAAATACCGCCCATTCATCCCCAACAACCCCATCCCCTCTGGAAACGCCTCCGGCACCCCCGCCGCCTCAATCACCACCCCCGCCCCGCGGCCCTCTGTCAGTGCCAGCACCCGCCCCCGCCGCTCCTCGACGGTGGAATCCCGCACCGCCATCGTCTCCGTCGCCCCGAGCCGCCGCGCTGCTGATAACCGCGCCGCCGACGACCCCCCTATCACGATTATCCGCCGCGCGCCTGCTAGGCTTGCGAGCACTACCATCGCCAGCCCCACCGGCCCCGCGCCTTGGATCACGACCTCCTCCCCCGCGACGCTGCTGGCGGCGCCGAGCTTCGCGAACCCCCGCAGCGCCGTCGGCATCGCGCACCCGAACGCGATCACGGCCTCTGAGCTCGTGGAATCGGGGATGCGGTAGTACAGGTTCCGCGGGCCCAGCGTCGCGAACTCGCGGAAGGTGGCGGCGTTGGGGGTGGCGGCGGGCGCGGGCCAGTTGATGTCGGGGCAGAGCATCGGGGTGGAGCGGAGGCAGGCGGCGCAGGTGGTGCAGGGGGTGGCGGGCAGCCAGGAGAGGCGGTCGCCGATAGTGAGGGGAGTGCCGGCGCGGTCGGTGGTGATGGATGAGCCGAGGGCGACGATGGTGCCGACGCCTTCGTGGCCGAAGCAGATGGGGGAGGACGGGGGTGGGTAGTCGCCGGTTAGGCGGTGGAAGTCGCTGCCGCAGACGCCGGCGAGGGTGACGCGGATGATGAGGGAGTGGGGAGAGGGGGGTGGGGTAGGGAGGGTGAGGAGCTGGAGGGGGGTGTTGGGGGCGGTGAAGACGATGGCTTTGCCGGAGAGCATGGTTGGGAGGGGGGGAGATGGGGTTGAGGATGAATGGGAGTAGGATATAGAATTGCAATAGAGATGGGAAGATGTAGAATTACAATGGAGATAGGAAACCGAAAGCAAGTTTGTTACCGGTATGGCAAATAGTTAAAAGGTCAATCCATTGTTAGGCCGCAAGTACGCCGAAGAACTCCGGTAGGAATTCGTAAGTAGGGATCTTACATAGGAGCAAACTTTGGGTAAATATATAAAAGTGTGTAACAGGCCTACTAAGTGCCTCAGCGCCCTCCAAACTGAAAGAGACCTGTTAAACGGCCTCAAATGAAGACTGGACTGACCCACCTCAGCGCCAGACGTCGACTTAGGGGTAGAAAAGTGGAGTGGACTCGCACCCTAGTACCAAATTTTCGCGAGCGGTGATACGAACCACGTGCCAGCCACCCGGTCATCCTCCGACATTGGAAAATGTCAGACTCATGGTCATAGAACAAGGGTTCATGTATGCAATAATTTCATCCGCCTTCCATCAATTCATAGGATCCACCCGGGTTCAGTTGAATATCCTCCCTGGCGCAATTGGCTAGCGCGTCCGACTGTTAATCGGTTTATCCGATCAGCGATCGGGAGGTTCATGGTTCGAGCCCATGGGGGGGAGTTTCTTTTTTGCATCTTTTTGTTTCTCTGCCATACTATAACTCTTAGGAGAGTTGATACGGTAGCAGAGAGGCGCGCCGGGAAAGCGTGGCTGGGGGAGGGGTGAATGGCATTATTTTTGTGGGCTTGGCGCCCCTCCACTCCCGACCTCACGGTGATATATACCAAACAACGCGCCCTCCACGGCTTCATACACGCGCAAAATGTCAACCTCAACAAACAATCACCCCGGGGCCACCGCCTCTACAAATGGTGCGGGCGAAAAGTCATACTTTGAGCAACAGCGTGAGATGTTGATGGGCGAGGTCGCAATGGTGGGTTTCTTTTTCCCCCCAGCGTTTCATGAAGGATGAGAGCAAATCTAACACGTATGCGTACAATAGAGTCTCGATCACGTCCTCCACAACATCAATAAGCTCAATCGCAGCTTGGAAGAGATCATTGGGGTGGGTGGAACCAGCTCCTGGCGATCTATATCGCGGGTAAGAATACTAGCTAATATAGTTTTAGGTCGGCAACGAGTTCCAGCCTGTCGAAGCGCTGTGGTCGCATTTTGAGAACGTGATGGCGAAAGATACGGAGGCGGGGGCTGAAGGGAATGAGGAGGACGGGGAGGATGGTGAGGGAGATACGGTTGTGAAGGAAGAAGGGAAATAAGGCTTGCGGAACGTGCGATTATTGGGCAGGCTGTTTTATGGCGTTTGAAAGTTGTGATACCCTGTTTGCTTGAGGATGGATTTGCGGACGGGTACTTGGGTAATTAAGCTTATGGTCATTGGAAGGGGTCGAGTTGACACCAGCAAGACGATCAGAGGCACGATGCATACGGCGGGAGCGTTTATCGAACATCGTTGCAGTAAAGTCATGACGCCATGCTCTACGGATACATAAGAAACGGCAGCGCGTCGAGGGCTTCCCTCTCCTCGACCCGAGAAACAGCGCACCATCTCCCTCTTTTGTGCACAAGTTCCCCCAGAACGCCCATAAGTATGTATGGTTTCCAATGACGCCATCCCTGGCTATTATGCATAAAACAGAACCCGGAAACATGACCCCTCCTCGATCGCTCACCCTAGCATTGTGCATCATGAAATGGAATCGTCAATAGTAGACAAGGAAGAAAAGAGGCCAAAAGGGGTCCAGAACTCAGAGCATCTTACAACTCCGCGACTTCTTGGACTTTTTAGCTGCGACATAGGCGGGTGTTCCAGCGACCGGCGCAGGCTTGTATTCGTCACCGACTGCCATCGTCACAGCTTGGTCGAAAATCTCCTCGACGCCGTTCTGCTCTTTGCTGCTGCACTCCATGTAGAGGGCGCCCATCTTCTGGGCCACCGCCTTGCCCTGTTGGGGTGTCACCGGAGTAAGTCCCTGGGCCTTGAGGAGGTCGATGCAGTGTTTCTTGTGTCGCAGGTCGGATTTGAGGCCGAGGAGCATGAGGGGAGTCGATGGGCAGAAGTGGAGGACCTCGGGATACCACTGTCCCAGCTGTTAGCCTGGCGTCTTCATTCCTGTCTGTGTTTTGTCTTACCTTGTCCAAGACATTCTCGAGCGAGTTCGGACAGTCAATGGCGAAGCAGACGAAGAGGATGTCGGTTTCGGGGTAGGAGAGCGGTCGAAGACGGTCGTACTCCTCCTGGCCAGCAGTGTCCCACAGCGCGAGCTCGACCATCTTCCCTGTCGGTGGGTGCGGTGTGTGGGTAATGTAGTTCTCGAAGACGGTAGGGACATATTTCTGTAAAACGGTTAGCTTGGACGGCGATAATCAATTCGCTCTCCATACCTCTGGGAAGTTGCCAGAGCTGTAGCTGATCAACAAACACGTCTTGCCGCAGCCGCCATCGCCCACCACTACAAGCTTCTTCGAGTACGCGGGCGGCTCGGTGATGTTTGTGCCAGAGGTGCCGTAAGACTCGCGGCCGGTGGAAGATGTGTTGACGGAGCTGACGGTGCCATTGCTAATCCTCTCGCTCGGCAGCCGCACTGGCTTGCGCTGTGTAGACATGTCGGGGGTGCGGGCAGACGGCTTGCGGCGAAGGTAGTCGAAGTCGGACATTGTCGAGGTTGGTGCAGTCGACGGGCAGCTGGCCAAGGAGATATCGCGGGATTATACTTCGGGGGGCGGTTGAGATGCAATCAATCAATGTGCGTGTATCAATATGCACAGAGAGAAATGGGAGAGGTGAATGTGGGAAGCGATTGTGTTCGTAGATGTGCAGAGCGAGCGGGTGTGGGAGTCGTGATGGAGAGATGTGTTTTTTGGTGTTGTTGTCCAGCGCAGTTGCTAGAGGAACGATGCATCCCTGCACCCACTTTGCTTCACGTCAGATCGGACCCCGCCGAGGCAGCGGAGGCACTGTGGCAGCACCACTACCACTGACGCCTCTAGCCGCGCGCCCCCCAGGAGCCCCCAAGCAACATCGCTTGACCCATGCGATGCGCCTTGTCTAACTGCGCGGTGTGAGACGAGAGCCTCTTGCCTTTCCGCCGCACCTCTGGCCGAGCCCCCGACGATGCGAATCTCCCCTGACCGCTGCCACACCCGCGAAACCACCACCACCACGAGCGGATGCATCTATGTGCGCACCACGAGACGGGCCCGTCCAGGCCGCAGGGGAGCCGGAGGTGCTGCCTCCCGCCGACTTCAAGAGCCAGCGCCCTGATGCTGGCATGAGACACCACGATCATTGTGCGTCGAGCGCCCCGGGCTTACGTGAAGAAATTCGCAGCTGCTAACTGCCGGACTGAACAGACGCCCTCCGCCTCCCAGAATGGCGCAACAAGCTGCGCAAGTGTCTGATTCCCATCGTCCGCTGGGAGACGCCCTATCTGGCCTTCATGCAAGACAAGATGCGGACGCCCGCCCTCGATTCCTACTTCGCCTTTACCGCCAATCTAGGAACTCACACCTTCTTTATGGTTATGCTCCCGATTCTGTTCTGGTGCGGATACACGAGCATGGGAAGAGCAATGGTGCACGTGTTGGCGGCCGGCGTCTTCTGGAGTGGCTTCGTTAAGGATATGCTGTGTCTCCCACGGCCTCTCTCCCCTCCCCTTCAGAGGATCACCATGTCTGGATCTGCAGCTCTCGAGTATGGGTTTCCTTCGACGCACTCAACCAATGCCGTTTCTGTGGCTGTGTATGCTATACAAATGCTGCAGTCCACCCCTGAAACGCACTACCCAACTCTCTATCTAGCATTGCAGGTGCTCTTCTACTTCTATGCCATCTCCATCATTTTCGGCAGGCTCTACTGCGGAATGCACGGCTTTTTTGACGTTGTTCTCGGGAGTCTTCTCGGCGCCGGACTTTCTGTCATTCAAATCCTCTATGGAGACGCCTTTGACAATTGGATATGTCAAGACTCCTACACACACCCTTTGATTGCCACACTAATTATCCTTGTTCTGGTCCGCATTCACCCAGAGCCTGCCGATGACTGCCCCTGTTTCGACGACAGCGTTGCCTTTGCTGGAACCGCAATTGGGGTTCAGGTGGGGGCTTGGCACTTCGCAAGCACCGGACTCGCATGGGATTACCCAATACCTTCTACTGTCCCTTTCGATCTTGAGAACATTGGGCTTGTGAAAGCCACCATCCGCATTTCTCTAGGCGTTGTGGTCATCTTTGCTTGGCGAGGCATCATGAAGCCTGCGATGTTGAAGATTCTACCGCCCATTTTCAGAGTACTCGAGGATGCGCGTCTCAGTCTACCCAGAGCTTTCTTCTTAACAGCTTCGTAAGCGTTTCATTCTATTCGGGCTGCCTTTCTAACAGCAACCATTACAGTCAATATACTAGTGTGCCAAAACTACATGGAGACGACAACGTGATCCCGTCAGCATCCGACATTCCACGACTTTTAACAAATCTTCGTCATCCCCGGCAAAGATCAGTCTCCGTGGGCCCTCAATCAGCAGCGGACGCTTATGAAACGCTTGCTTACCGCAACAAACGACGAAGAGAGAGCCTCACATCAGACGCCGAGAAGACACCTATCAATGTAACTGGGAGCATTCCTGAAGGCTACGGGATTTCGACAAATTCAAAATATCCACCCAACATACGCACAAATGTGCCACTGGGAGCGGATCTACTACCGACGCCAATATCTTCTCGCGTCCACTCATATGAGCAAATGATGGGCAGTGGGGAGGTGATCGCGTCACCGGGCACCCCACCGTACGGCGAAGCTAGCTATGAAAACGTTGATAAGACAGCAGGGGTCGACGGGTCGGATGATGAGAAAGAAGACCGTGAGATATTCTTGAAGCTTGAACGGCCTCGAGTGAGATACGACGTCGAAGTGATCACGAAGCTCATTGTATATACGGGTAAGTGCTCGTACTGGTCGAGCTCGTTCTGTGTCTAACGCGTGTTACCACAGGCATCGCATGGTTAGCGGTAGAAGGGAACCCTCTTCTTTTCGAGGTGTGCGGCCTGGGGATGACTGTTTAGTATTTGAATGCTGCTGTGGGTGTGACGCAGCAACTGACATGTTAGTTGTACACGTAAACATGATGTTGGCGTTTGGAGCGTCGGCTTTTCGTCTCAGGAAGATCAGTAGTAATAATAGATGCTAGGCCAACAAGGCTCGTGCGCATACTTGCATCATAGCTCTCTTCAACTTAAAGTGACGGACACACTACAGGAGGCCCTCTCTACTTAGTCCTTCCAACCCCACCGCTTCTTAAACCACTGCAGAACATACACCAAAGCCACCAACACCGGAACTTCGATCAACGGCCCAACCGTACTCGCCAACGCCTGCCCACTGGAAGCTCCATACACCGCAACGACAACCGCAATCGCCAGCTCAAAGTTGTTGCTCGCCGCCGTAAAACTCTGCGTACACGAGACTCTATACCCAAACCCAAGCTTCCTGCACAACAGCACCGTCACACTAAACATGACAAGGAAATAGATAATCAACGGCGCGCAGACCCTCAGCACCGATGTAATCTGATTAACAACATGTTTTCCTTGCGACGCAAACAGCA